GCTCAAAGTTGAAACTTTACCTCAAATTTAGTAAAAATTTATGTCTATCAACTTAGCGAGACAACTTCGAAAAATCGATTTTCCATTATGCCAAGAATTTGCCGCTTTTTTGCCGCTAATTAAATGTGGAATTAAAAAATTTGCCGCTCTTTTGGTTTTTTCTTAATTACGTGTTTTGCTAACTTGACGTCAAGATAGCGAGACAACATCACTAAATATGTCAGCACTAAAAAACTAGGTACTGTTCCTGAACGCAGCCCGGGTAGCGGCAAATTTTTAGTTTTCACATCTAATTAGCGGCAAAAAAACGGCAACGGCGAGAACGAGATTGCCCTAGACGGACGGGTTAGTTTGAGTAAGTCTACATAATTTTGATTAATATTGGAACAATTTGATGTTTCCCTCTTTTGCTTAGAGGTCGTCGTTGTAAATGTCGCTCTTTTAATTTGTCACTGTTCTAAATCTCGTTCTTTACATATGTCGCTCTTTTGATATGTTGATGTTTTTTTTAGATGTCGCTATTTTGAATATCGCTGTTCCAAATGTCGCTATTTTGATATATCGCTCTAACAATATGTCGCCATTTTGAGGTTGCTATTTTAAATATCGTTCTTTTGAACCGGAGCCACCGAAAATATCTTGTATTTTGGAAAACGATCTTCAGTTCTCGTAGATAGTAAGGCACTTCGTGTTCTTGGCCAATCGCGCTTTATCCAGTCGCGTTTTTGTTCCGTCGCGCTTTTGTCCCCTCGCGCTTTGTCGCTCGCGCTTTTGTTACGAGCGCTTTTATCCAGTCGCGTTTTTGTGCAGTCGTGCGCTTTTGTCTCTAGCGCTTTTGTTCCTCGCGCTTCTATCCAGTCGCGTTTTTGTCCATCGCGCTTTTTTCCTGTCGCGTTTTTGTTCCGTCGTGCTTTTCGTATCGCGCTTTTCTCCCTCGCGCAAACGGTTGTCGCGCAAATGACACAGACCCCATGCATAAACTGGCATTTTTTAATTGTTGATTTGAACCAACCAGATTGCGATTACGTGATAATTTGTACTAGTGCAGGATTATCGGATTGGATAATTGCTCACTAACGGGTGGCATTTGACATTTTTTCTGATTGGTGACATTTTATACTTACGAGGATATACTAAAAATTTAAATTTTTAATTCATGAAATTCTCTCATAAAATACAACTCGAGCAATGGAAATATATCTAAAATTTTTGAGAAATTTGCTCTCATGCATTTTTAACTGGAAAAGGCACTCGTCCCTCGTGTTTTCTTTCAACTAAAAATGCATAGGGGAAAATTTGCCAAAAATTATCGATAATTTCCAATTTATCCCAATTTAATTTTATTTCTAATTTTATTTTATTTTCTGTATAAATGAGCACACGATATTTCGCTTTCTGATTTTTGAAACCTATAAGGCCTCCAATAGAGTTTTCCTGAGCTAAAGAAAAAAAAAACTGAAAAACTATTCTCAAAAAACTTAGAAATAAATATTTATTCCAACAAATGTTGAGTTTCACGATTTAATTAGCGGCAAATTTCCACAGCTTTTCTCTACCACTCAATTTTTCTCTACCGACATTTTTAATGATACATACTGTTTTGCTCACTTGATGTCAACTTAGCGAAACACATAATATTTTTTTCAAACGCGATATTTTCCACTCACTCAATTTATCACTACCGACATTTTTAGTGATCTCGCTAACTTTACGTTAAATTAGCAAAACATTTATTTTATTTTCGAACACGATTTTCTTATGAAAAGAAAGGTAAAGTGCGTTTTTTTTTTAAAGATAAAAGTCAAAATGACATTATGTTGGCAATACAATGTAAAATTGTCAATGCTTCCAAATTTTTTATGTAGAAAAAGCTTGTGTTGCCAACATAGTTACTAAATTTTTGACTTGGGGAATTATCTTTAAAAAAAAACGCACTTTAGCGGCAAATTTTTAGTTTTCACATCTAATTAGCGGCAGAAAAACGGCAAATTTCCATTCACTCAACATTCACTCAACTTATCACTACCGACATTTTTAGTGATATTATTCTTTTTATACAATGCTATGACCTTTTAAACTGAAAGGATTTCATTCATCGCTAATGCATATTTTATTTTTGAAAATTAAATATTGGATATTTTTAAAAGAGTTGCTTTACTTTTGTCCGATAGTGTATTGTTCGTCGATTTTAATCTGATACTCGGACGGAATGTGAGCTGGTGGCTCCCTACATTAGAACGCGAATGGTTACCTGACGTCACACCTGTTTTTCCCATATGAAACACCACCTCGCTCCTCATACCGCAAGTATCAGATAAAAATCGACGAACAATATGTTATAGCTCAACATCTATACTTCTCTCTATTTTGACGTATAGAGTAAAAAGTGACAGACAACTTAACGTTGCTGTTAAAATAACAGAAAATGATACATCATAAGCCTGATTGTCTCGCTAACTTGACGTCAAGTTAGCGAAACAATGATTTTTTTTTCAAACTTGATTATTTATGGAAAAAAAAAGAACTGGCAAATTTTTGGTTTACACAACTAATTAGCGGCAAAAAAACGGCAAATTTTCATTTACCTAATTTTTTACTGCTGACATATTTAGTGATGTTGTCTCGCTATCTTGACGTCAAGTTAGCAAAACACGTAATTAAGAAAAAACCAAAGGAGCGGCAAATTTTTTAATTCCTCATTTAGTTAGCGGCAAAAAAGCGGCAAATTCTTGGCATAACGGAAAATCGATTTTCCGAAGTTGTCTCGCTAGTTGATAGACATCAAAAATTTCCCTTTGGAAAAATTCGAATTTTTAAATATTATGGATTTTGCAATTTTTGACTTCACCAATCGAAAGAAGAGGTTAAAATTAGTAGAAAAGCATTTTTGCAATTTTCCTTTTTGGGTTTTAAAACCTTGTTAAAAAATAAAAACGATTTTTGCAATTTTTGGGCTCAAAAAATTTCAATAATCTGATATTCTTTCACAAAATTGCTGATTACTCAGTTATTATTATAATTATGTAAAATTATATATTCTGAATCAGAATTAAATTATCTTCAAGATAAAATAAAATTCAATTCTATATCTTAAATACTTCGGCAGATATTGAGTCTCAAAGTTGAAACCTTACCTCAAATTTTGCAAAAGCTTCCAGGCGAATTATCTTGAAAACGAAGCCCTTGGGCTCGGAGTCTTAAATAATCTTTTTTGTAGCCTTTATTAGGAGCTACAATTGGGCAAAAGATTCATGCCAATAGCTTTACTGGTTTCCAAAATACAAGCATTTGAAATATTTGAAAATCCAATTTCCATGTATACCCCTTTGAAAAAGTTCGAATTTTTAAATTTTTGGATTTTGGAATTTTTACTTTACTAATCAAAAGAGGAGTTGAAAATTAGTGGAAAAGTATTTACGCAACTTTGTTTTTAGGGTTTTACTTAAGGCTTGTAAAAAAATAAAAACGATATTTGCAATTCTTGTGCTCAAAAAATTTCAATAATCTGATATTCTTTCACAAAATTGCTGATTACTCGGTTATTATTATAACAAATATGATGTAAAATTATATATTCTGAATCAAAATTAAATAATCTTCAAGATAAAATAAGATTCAATTCTATACCTTGAATACTTTTGAAGATATTGAGGCTCAAAGTTATAACTTTGTCTCAAATTTTGCAAAAGCTTCAAAGCCGATTATCTTGAAAACGAAGCCCTTGGGCTCGAAGTCTTGAATAACCTTTTTTGAAGCTCTTGAGAGCTACAATTGCCAGAGTCCCAGCTAGAACTCGAAAAATGAAAATAGAGATAAAAAGTCAAAAAAGTTGACAGAAACTTTTTCTGATAATTTTTCTTGGAATCTGATAATTTTGTTCTCAAATCCTGATAATTTTAAATTTGACATCTGACAACACTGATGCAAGTATTATGTATTTGAAAATATTCTATTGCAAGTGGAAATGTCTATTGCCTGGTTTATTGGTAATAATATAAAATTGGAAAAAGAGTTTCAACTAGAAATCAAATCACCCAAATTACAGTGGCTAAATGTAGAAAATTAAATATTATCTTGTTTGCATTTACAAAACTATTCACATTTAACTTCCAAGTCATTTACGTAATTATATGACTCATAGCGTAGATAATTATGACTATTTTACCCATCATAATAATACGAATTTTTGTTTAAATAATTATTGTTGTTGTGGAACCACAACCGTTATTTTTCTCTTTTCCCCTTAAAATAGGTTTATTATGATATATTTGACCCTTTTCTCACCCATAGACAGGATCAATAAAACACAGAAAGTTAGTCTCTAAGAGGTACCTGACGCGACTCTTATGTTCGGTGGTGCAACACATACCTTCTCTCTTTCTCTTTCGAGCACAAAATTAGACGTGATTAATTTGTATTTTTCTTGATTCACTGTTTTAGTGTTTCAGCAGTTTGTGTATTAATTTAATCCTAAGAATTTCAATAAAATTGTTATAAAAAAGTGAACTAGTATTGGATTTCTTTACAATTCATTTAGAGTCTCTAGTGAACATAGACTCCCGCTCCCAATGTATAGGTAGATACTGATTTACCTTCAATCTCCTACAATTATTGTTCTAAGAGTTTTACGTATAAATATATTTTTTATAAAGATCTTGATGATTGTAATAATTTAGAATGATGAATCAATCATGTTCCTAATGGTTTTTTTCTAGTGAAATATTAAAAGAAACTGTCCAATAAGTGCATTTTACCGTTTTCTCTTTCTTCGATTTTTTTTTTTAAATCAAAATCTATTAAACCAATAGTTTTAAATATGTTCACGTTAAAGTTTTCGTTGAATAATAAAACAATTTAAAAAGTGATACAGATCCATTCAAAGTCGTATTTTCGGTTTAAGTTTCTATTTAAAATCAGAAATTGGTCAAGTGTAAATGGAAACTGTTTCAAATGAACAATAAAACAATGTGATCTGATGATGATAAATCATGTTGTTTCAGCTCTACCTCAACTCCCTGGACGGCAACAAAATCCGAACAAAACCTTCATCATTCAAAGACTGCAATCAAATAAGTTTCGAGGGTAGCGACAAACTCAATTCACATTTAGGATCCATAAGACTGGCAGCTTATATTCAAGATAATAAGAAAGACTATACTTTGAACATATCTTTTCTCGATATCAAATGGACCAGTAAGCATAAGGAATTTATAAATTAAATGGTTTTATTTTATTTTTTGTATTTAGGAGCCCATTTAAAACTTTACCAAGATTCCAAACCAGAAACAAGTATTTGTAAAATGTATTCTATTACAAATCAGGCCCGATTGCCAATGTCCCAAATGGATGATTCTTGTTTTAACCTAAACACTTACAATACTAGTGTCGATTATGTGCTGGAATTTAAGGCTGAACTTAAGACAGATATTTTATATAAGAAGCTAATTTTTAGATTTCCTTCTGTGGAGAGTTATGGTAAGAGCTTGACAACAAACATCTTTATATTTTGTATTTTATTTTATAGAAAACTCTGTTGCTCTTCCAAAAAGGTCCCTATTTCTCACTGTGGACGCACCAAGTAACCATGGTATAATTTTGAAAATCCAAGCGTTGCCGTTCTACTATAATGTAACTTATTACAAAGTTGAAGTTTTCAAAGACAAAGACGATAAGGATATTTTGTTGGACGTAAGAATGCTCAAGCCTAAAAGTGAAGGAATGACTTTTGATTACATTACTTACAATGAGGAAGGTCATTATTTTTTTAAAGTTAGCGCAGTTAATGACGTTTGTCCTGAGGATGTTTGTTTGAAGAGTGTTTCTCCTCAAGTTTATATCAGTAAGTAAATTGTCTGAATTTTGAGCAAATGCTTAAAAGGTTATTCTAATGTTTTAGAACGAAAATATCCTCCTCTAGTCATAGGAATAGTTGGAGCAAGTTTTATTATCCCTTTTGCCCTATTTATTCTTCACATGTGGACTAGGCGTAGTCAATTAGAAGGTAAGGCAAAATTACCTATAACATAACATTATTTCGAAGGGTAGTTAACTGGTCAAAATCCGTGTACAAGTTGGTCAAAATCCCAAAAAATCTCATAAGATCTACTCAAAATCCCTAAAAATCCTTAAAAATTTAACAAAATCCCACAAAATCTCTTGAGATTGTATAAAATCCTACAAAATCTAACAAAATTTCATTAAAACCAAAAAAATCCTGCAAAATCATTAACATTCCTAAAAAATATTTCCTTTGAAATTCCCAAAAATCCTCTGGAATCCCCAGTGGCGCACCCAGGGAGGGTGCTATCTATTTTTACGTTTAAAAAAATCCTGTGCAGTTCACACCCGGTAGAAGTGAAACCTTCATCGAACTGCATGCATTACACACATACTAACATACACAGGGGCGTCCCCCTCCCTCCAAAAGACTTGAGAAAGAACGCAAATAAATATATAGTTTAAAAAAACTAAAATACACGCTGCGGTGCTTTGTTCCACATTTCTCATACATTGAGCACCCCACGCTTTTTTGACAATAATTCTAATATTTTTTGTTCATCAATATTTTCTGTTTATATTAAAAATTATTTTTCACAAGCGTGTCAGCCCCAGAGATTCCAGATTGCATCCAGATTTATCCAGACTTGTACAGACTGATCCGGATTCTGGAAAATGATCCCCAGGTCTTTTGGGACCTTTTCCAGAATTTTTCCGACCCTTTCAAGAAATTTCCAGGCCTTTTCCAGACATTTCCAGAGATTTCCAGACATTATCCAGACTTATCCAGAGCTTTCCAGAGTTTTCCAGACTTCATCCAGATTAACCCAGACTTTATCCAGACTTGTTCAGACTGATCCGGATTCTGGAAAATGATCCCCAGGTCTTTTGGGACCTTTTTCAGAATTTTTCCAACCCTTTCGAGAAATTTCCAAGTCTTTTCCAGACAATAACCAGACTTATCCAGAATTTTACAGACTTTATCCAGATTTATCCAGACTTTATCCAGACTTGTACAGACTGATCCGGATTCTGAAAACTAATCCCCAGGTCTTTTGGGACCTTTGGCAGAATTTTTCCGACACTTTCCAGAAATTTCCAGGCTCTTTCCAAACGTTTCCAGAGATTTCCAGACATTATTCAAACTTATCCAGAGCTTTCCAGAGTTTTCCAGACTTCATCCAGGTTAATCCAGACTTTATCCAGACTTGTTCAGACTGATCCGGATTCTGGAAAATGATCCCCAGGTCTTTTAGGACCTTTTTCAGAATGTTTCCAACACTATCCAGAAATTTCCAAGTCTTTTCCAGACGTTTCCAGAGATTTCCAGACTTTTCCAGACAATAACCAGACTTATCCAGAGTTTTACAGCCTTTATCCAGACCTTATCCAGACTTGTACAGACTGATCCGGATTCTGGAGAATGATCCCCAGGTCTTTTGGGACCTTTGGCAGAATTTTTCCGACCCTTTCCAGAAATTTCCAGGCTCTTTCCAGACGTTTCCAGAGATTTCCTGACTTTTCCAGACATCATCCAGATTTATCCAGACATTTTCCAGACTTGTTCCAGCTCACTTGGCTTGTTCCAGGTTCTTGTTGTGTGTAAATATAAGCGTGTTAAAAAAGTGTCACTTTTTCGTTTCATCGAGTCTCAAATCACTCCCAACGATTCTAAAGAAGTTTTCACTTCAAAATGTAGCAACATCAAGGTGTGGCACCCTGACACCTCAATTTTTATTTTTAGATTTTCAGTCACAAGCCATAACCTATATAGACCCCCCCCCCCCCTCAAACATATTTTCTAGGTGCGCCACTGGGAATCCCCAAACATCTGTTAAAGTCTCTCAGAATTCCATAATTTAGTGGAATTTCGGTAGAATTATGTTATTCTGAAAAAGGAATTACATGTGAAATTTTTGTAGACTTTCCATAGAATTCACATTAAATTTTAGTTCCTCTCGAATTACATGAAATTTCAGTGAAATTCCGATTGAATTACACGAAATCCTAAATAAATTGCATAAAAGAATTCTAAACAATTATATGAAATTACACCGAAATTCCCAACATGAAATTTCAGTTCTTACTGAATTTTAGTAAAATTCCACAAGTGAAATGCCGCGGAATTTCCGGCTCAAAACATGGAATTTTGGTGATATTCCGAAAAATTCCCATGTAATGACATGAAATTTTAATATATTTCGGTGAATTTTCAAGAAATTACTTGAAGTTTCATTAATTTTCCCAAACGTTTCTGGCTATTAAAAAAAAAAATTCGTTGAAATTCTTAAAAATTCTTATGAAAATAAATGAAATTTTGAAAAATTTCTTGAAGTTTCATTGGACTTTCGAGAAATCTTCGGCTATGAACATGGAATTTCAAAATACATATTCTCATAAAATTTTAGTGAATTCTGAGGAATTTTTCAAAATTACATGAAATGTCAATGAAATTCCGGAGAATTGTATGGAAATTTTTAGGAATTTCAAGATATTTCAGTGGTGAAATTTTGGGGAATTTCAGTAAAGTTGAAAAAAAAATTATGGAATTTTGAAATTGAAATTTTAGTGGAATTCCGAGGAATTTCATGAAATCCTATACTGTAATTCCTAAAAAAAAAACTGTCTAAGAATTCCATAAAATCTTCTGGTGAAATATTGAAGAATTTCTACGGAATCGTTTGAAATTTTCGCGGAATTTCTATTGAACTTTAAATTTTAGTGGAATTTCATGAAATTTCATAGTCTAATTCCGAAAAATTTTTGCACAAGAATCCCATTGAATTTTATTGTGGAATTCCATGAAATCTTATGGTAAAATTTGGAAAAATATTATGGAATCTTATAGTAAAATTTTTAGGAATTTCCGTTTTTTCATTCAAATTTACCATTTGAATGGAATTTTGAAAAATTGCATAAAATCTTCTGGTGAAATTCTAAGGAATTTCTATGAAATTAACTAAAATTTTCACGTAATTAATTCCCATAGAATAACTTGAAATTTTAATGGAATTTCGAAGAATCTTATGAAATCTCATAGTGTAATTCCGAAGAATTTTTGTGCAAGAATTCCATTAAATTTTATGGTGGAATTCCATAGAATCTTATGATGAAATTCGGAAAAGTATTATGAGAGCTTCAAATTTATCACTTGAATGGAATTTCGAGGAATTCCATAAAATCTTCTGGTGAAATTCTAAGGAATTTCTATGGAATTGACTAATTTTCGCGGAATTTCCATGGAATAACTGGAAATTTTAGTGGAATTCCGAAAAATTTCATGAAATCTTATACATACCTATTGTAATTCCGAAGAAATTTTTTTTTAAAGAATTCCATTGAATTTTATGGTGTGAAATGTAACATGTGAAATTTTTGCAAAGCTTCCATAGAATTATCATTAAATTTTAGTTCCTCTCGAATTACATAAAATTTAGAGAAATTACATGAAATTTCAGTGGAATTTCGATCGAATTACATGAAATCCTCAATGAGTTGCATGGAGGAATTCTAAACAATTATATTGAATTACACCGAAATTCCCAACATGAAATTTTAGTGCTCATTAAGTTACATAAAGAATTTTAAAAAAGTTTCAAAAAATTACATAATTTCCGAAGAATTTTCGTCGAATTATATGGAGCTCCGATGCAATTGCATAGAATTCCAAGGAATTGTCAGGGAATTACATAAAATTTAAAGGGAATTTTGAACAATTCTTATTGTTTCATAACATAAGGAATTTCAGTGAAATTCCGAAAAATCCTAATGTAACATAAAGTTTTATTTTTCTTCCAAGGAATTTCCATTGAAAACATGGCATTTTAGTGAAATTGAAATTCCGAAAAATTCCTGAGTTTTGAAGTGGAATTCCGAGGAATTTCAAGCTAAAAACTTGGAATTTCGGTGAAATTTGGAAAAATTTCCATGTAATGATATGAAATTTCAATATATTTCGAAGAAATATCGGTGAATTTTCAAGAAACTACTCGAAGTTTCATTAATATTCCCAGAAATTCCTGACTATCGAAAGAGAATTTCAGTGAAATTCCGAAAAATTCTTATGATAAATGAAATTTTGAAAAAAAAAAGAAGTTTTATTGGGATTTTGAGAAATTTTCAACTAATAACGTGGAATTTTAGTGAAATTCCGAGGAATTTCTAAGAAATTACAGGAAATGTTAGTGAAATTCCGAAAAATTTTATGAAAATTTTGTGGAATTCCAGGATATTTGAGTGGTGAAGTTTTGGGGAATTTCAGTGAAGTTTATAAAAAATTATGGAATTTGGAATTTCTATAGAATTTTGGAAAATTTCAGTGGGATTTCGAAAAAAAAAAATTAAGTATTATTCGCAGAATTTCCATCAAATTATATACAATTTCACTTTGTGTCGACTTACATAAAATTTTGATGAAATGTCGAGTAAATTTTCAAGGAATTCTCGTCGAATTACATACATGGAATTCCTTGAAATTTTATTGTGGAATTCCAGTGAAATTATATGAAATTCGAAGAATTCCCTTGGAATTGAACAGAATTTCCATGGAACCACGAGAAATTTCGGCGGAATTCCGAAGAATTGAATTAAATTTTAGTGAAATTCCGAGTAGTTTCTGTCGACTTCGGAAAAGTACTATGAGATCTAAAAATTTCTAAGACTTTCTAATTTTCTCTTCAAATTTCGTCATTTGAATGGAATTTCGAGGAATTTTATAAAATCTTCTAGTGAAATTCTAAGGAATTTCTATGGAATTAGCAAAAATTTTTGCAGAATTCCCATGGAATAACTTGAAATTTTAGTGGAATGCTGAAAAATTTCATGAAATCTCATAGGTAGTGTAATTCCGAGGAATTTTTGTCCAAGAATTCCATTTAATTTTAATGTGGAATTCCATAAAATCTTATGGTGAAATTTGGAAAAATATTATGAAATCTTATAGTAAAATTTTTAGGAATTTCCGTTTTTTCATTCAAATTTACCATTTGAATGGAATTTTGAAAA